ACAAGAAAGACATTGAGATTTTGGAAAGGGTCCAGAGGAGGGCAACTAAGATGATCAGGGGGCTGGAGCACCTCCCCTATGAGGACAGGCTGAGGGAGTTGGGCTTGTTCAGCCTGGAGAAGAGAAGGCTGCAGGGCGACCTCATTGCAGCCTATCAATACCTGAAGGGAACCTACACCCGAGAGGGGAGTAAACTCTTCAAAAGGGCTGACAACAGCAGGACTAGGGGAAATGGATCCAAGTTGAAGGAGGGAAGATTTAGGTTGGATGTTAGGGGGAAGTTCTTTACTAGGAGAGTGGTTAGGCCCTGGAACGGGCTGCCCAGGGAGGTTGTGGATGCCCCGTCCTTGGACGTGTTTAAGGCCAGGTTGGACGGGGTCCTGGGCAACCTGATCTGAATGTGTATGTTTGGTGGCCCTGCTAGGCAGGGGGGTTGGAACTACATGATCCTTGAGGTCCCTTCCAACCCGGGTGATTCTGTGATTCTGTCATCGTCTGTCATCATGTTCCACTGTGTTCTGAAGATCAATGTAATTGAGCAGTCAGGTCCCAAAAATGCATTTCGTTTAAAAACAAATGCTCTGTTCTTGGATCAAGGATTTCTGTGTTACAGTTCTACTTAACTAGGCTGTGGACAGCTGATGAAAAAGAAAAAAAAAAAAAGAAAAACATAAGCAGTGGAAGCAGGGATGGGTTGCCTGGGAAGAATATAGGGATGCTGTCCAGATATGCAGGGCTAGGATCATGAAAGTCAAGGCGCAGATGGAATGAAACTTGATGAGGGATGTGAAAAACAACAAGAAGGGTTTCTTTAGATACGTTTGGCAGAGCAGACAGGCAAAGGAGAGTGCACTCCTCCTGTTAAACGAAAAGGCAGAGCTGGTCTCCTCAGACATGGACGAGGCTGAGTGCTTAATGAGTTCTTTGCCCCTGTCTTCATGAACATTCAGGCTTCCTACATCTCTCTCATGTCCCTGAACTTCTAAGCGGGGGTGGGATGAGCAAAATCCCTGCCAGTGTAAGAGCAGAGCTGAATATGTGCAAGTATGAATATGGAGCTGAACAATACGAACCCTAGTGTTCTAAGGAGCTGCCTGATGTACCTGCCAAGCCTCACTCCATCACATCTGAAAAATCATGGCTGTCAGGCAAAGTCCCTGCTGAGTGGAAAAAGGAAAGCATCACTCCCATTTCTAAGAAAGGGAGAAAAAGGAAGAGCCAGGGAACTACAGGCCGGTGAGCCTCACCTCTGTGCCTGGGAAGATCTTGGAGCAGAAGCTATGTTAAGGCACATGCAAGATAAGGAGGTGATCTGAGAGCCAGCATAGCTTCACCAATGGCAGATCGTGCCTGACGAATCTGGTGGCCTTCTATGATGAAGTGATGCCACCAGCAGACAGAGGAAAGGCAACTGGAATCGTGCAAGGCTTTTGACATGGCCCCACACCACATCCTTAACTCTAAATTGGAGAGGGATGGATTTGAAGGCTGGATTATTAGGTGGACAAATAAATGGTTGGATGGTCACAGCCGGGGGCTGTTGTCAATGGATTTGTGTCCAGGAGGAAGGCGGTCACAAGTGGTGACCCCCAGTGCTCTTCAGCATGTTTATCAATGGCACAGACAGCCGGATTGATTGTACCTTCAGCAAGTTTGCTGATGACACCAAGCTGGGTGGTAGGACTTGGGGGTCCCGATGAACAAAAAGCTGGAGGGACAACACTATCCTGGGCTACGTCAACAGAGCGGTGGCAGGCAGGGACAAGGAGGTGACTGTCCCTCTCTACTCTGCCCTTGTGAGGCACCATCTGGAGCACTGCATTTAGGCCTGGGGCTTTCTTCTTTTCATCTTCTCTCCTGCCCTCCCTCCCTTTCTTCTTCCCCCTCTCCCTCCCTTCCTCCCTTCCTTCTGTTTCCCAAAGTGTGTGTTAGTAAGTCAAGGAAAAGATAATTCAGAGAAGTTCCACATCATGTGTTTTAAAAAATATGAAACTAAGTCTCTTTGTGGTTTCATGATTTATGAATGCCAGTAACTATCCCAGTTTAATCTGAATCCTACTGTTCTGAAGATAAAACTCACTGTTACACATTAAATTAGACTGCAGATCACATAACTGCCTGAACCACGTGAATCACTAGCAAATATGGATAATGAAATGGAGAACTGGCACAGGAGGAATGAAAGAACATGGATACACATAAACAAAAACGCTCCTCCAAAGCATTTGAAAAAATGCTGATCAGATAATTTTCATACCAGGAACCCAAGGTGCTTGACTACCAGACTAAAGGAAAACTTGCAATACAAAGCATAGAAATTAAGACAAGAGCATTTTCCACATGCTTGCAACATTCCCTGCTATCTGAATGAGCCAACGAGAAGAAGGATTTTGCTGGGCCTTATTCTTACTAAGAAGGAAGGGCTGGCTGGGGATATGAAGGTTGGGGGCAACGTGAGATGCAGCAATCACGAGATGATGGAGTTCAGGATCTTGTGTGGAAGAAGCAAAGCAGCATGTAGGACTGCCAACCCTGACCTCTTCCAGGATGTGCGTGGAGGTGTCCCATGGGGTGAGCGTTGGAAAGCAAGGAGGCCTGAGGGAGCTGCTCAGCCCTCAAACACAACTTCTTCCAAGCTCAGGATTGGTGCACAGCTAAGAGTGAAAAATTGGGGAAAGTTGGCAGAAGGCCTGAATGGATGAGCAAGGAGCTCATGGATAAACTCAAAGGTGAGAAGAAAGTCTATAAAATGTGGAAAAAGGGCCTGTCTGGTTAGGAGGAATACAGGAATGTTGTTAGAGCCTGTAGGGATGCAATGAGGAAGGCCAAGGCCCACTTGGAATCAAATTTGGCAAAGGAAGTCAAGGATAACAAGCAAGCAAGGTGTTTTTAAGTATGTCAGCAGTAAAAGGAAGACTAAGGAAAATGTGAGTCCATTACTGAATGAGGTAGAGGCCCTGGCAAGAAGGGATGCTGGCAAGGTGAAGATACAGAATGCCTTCTTTGCTTCTAGCTTTACTAATCAGACTGCCCCTCAGGAAGCTCAGACCCTGGACATAAGAGAGCCTGGGGAATGGAAGCCTTCCCCTTAGTTGAGAAGGATATGATTAGAGAGTGTCTGGCCAAAACCAACTCACACAGATCCATGGGCCCTGATGGGATGCACCCACGTGTGCTGAGGGAGCTGGCAGAAATGACCGCTGAGCCACTCTCTTTTATCTTTCAGAGGTCCTGGAGAACAGGAGAGATGCCTGAAGACTGGAGGATAGTCAGTATCACACCAGTCTTCAAACAAGGCAAGAAGGAGGATCTGGAAAACCACAGGCCAGTCAGCCTCACTTCTGTCCTTGGAAAGCTTGTTCTGGATGCTATCTCCAAGCAATTGGAAGAGAAGTGTTGATGAAGGGAGAACAGTGGATGCTGTGTACCTTGACTTCAGCAAGGCATCTGACACGGTCTCCCACAGCATTCTTGTTATGATACTTAGAAATTGTGGGATATATGAGTGGACAAGGAGGTGCATTGAGACTTATCCCACCATGGTTAAAAGGGACATCCATCCGTGCACAGCCCAACCTCTCCTTTGAATCAGGGCTATCAAAAATACAAGGCCAGGTCTGCATTGAAACCTTGCAAGGTAGGAGCTCAGCCCATGCGAGTAGCTTTTCCTAGCGCTGCACTGCTCTCCTGATGGAGAATGTTTCCTGAAGTCCACTCTGAATGTGTCGAGCTGTAATTGTGGAAATCGTTCTTACTCTGTTGTCTGCCACTACAAAGAAGCATTTGGCTCCATCGTGTTTATCTGCTCTTCAGATAGCAGCACTGTGCAGTTAGAAAGCCTTACCCTACCCCAGATTGAGGAGTGGCTGACAGCACAGCTCTGCGATTAACGCTCTGAGCTCTGCCTGTCAGCCAGTGGAAAGGCAAAAGATTAACAGAACCTGTAGCATCTCCTGTATGAGGAAAGATTGAGGGACTTTGAACTCTTCAGTATGGAAAAGAGAAGGCTGAGAGGGGATCTCATAGCTGTTTGTAAGCATAAGAATGAGAACATTCCTGCATCCTTCCTCTGGACTGGGATTGCACTGTTCATCAACTCCTGCAATTGTACTGCAGCCTGGCTTCTCTGAAATGAGAGATAATTAAAACCTTCCCTGGTACTGCTTTCTCCACTCAGAATAGAAAGTGCCTCTCTCTCCATTACAAAAACCATTCCCAGCCCAGAACAAAGGCCAGAAGTTTTTGGTAAGTAGAGATCTCACCACAAGAAAGCAGGGCCCAGCATAATTTATATTGCTTCCTCCTTGCCATCTATGTGTGGGGCCCCAGTGTGATGACATCCTGGCTCAGATGCTATAAACAAGGCCATATTAATGGATCATAAACTCCTTGGAGGCTGGCTGGATGTCTGTATTAGGTTATGAGTTCCTGAAAGCAGAGATAACAACAAGGTGAATCTGAGAATGGAAAGTTGGAGAAACGGAAGTTAAGACACTGGAGAAATACCTCCCCTTTGCTAGTCCTGTTTATCTGAGCCTCTTACAAAGAAGTTGGTGAATGTGATTCTGGTTTTAGCATCACGTGGATGAGGAGATCTGGGCTAAGCAGCACAATGTCAGATTGCAAATATGCCATTATAATGCTGCTGCTCCCTGGAACATCAAGCAGCGTAAGAAGTAGCCACCTGCAAGAGAAGGCATAATGCATCAAGGACTATGAGAAAATTGGCTTAGAGTCCAAGTCCAGATTGCAATTCATTTTCTGATAGCCCTTTGGTAGATTCATTCTGGATAACTTTACAACCATGTTAAAACTAAAGAGTTTGCCTTTATTCTGACTATAGGGGACACCTCAAACCAGAACTCCTTACTACTTACAATCATAGAATCTCAAGGTTGGAAGGGACTACAGGATCATCCAGTCCAACCATCCTCCCACCACCTCTGCTGCCCCCAGCACCAAACCACATCTCGCAGCTCCTCATCCAGGAGCCCCTTGAGCACTGCCAGGGACGGCGACTGCACCACCTCCCTGTGCAGCCACTGCAGTCAGCACGGCTTTCAGTGCTTATCCCAGTGCCCTGCCGTGATGCCAGCAATCACTGTACTACTGAAATACACCTATGTAGCACCAATCCTTTTCTGTTTGCAGTACTGCCGCCTTTATGTCCTCTTCAAAATAGATTTTGGTTTAACTATGTGATAAAACTGAGAACTCATGATTCATTGCCCATCCAATGTAATCAATCCTTTAATTTCTGCTTTCCAGGACACAGCCATTAGCCAGTAACCACAAACTGCTCTGTGGGACTCTCATGGAAACAACAGCCCTCCTGGATGACAATTATCCATTGTTACATACAGCAAGAGATTTTAAACCAAAAGTTTATGAATTACTGCCCAGTGTTTATCCAGCTCTTCATGCACTACTGCCAAATGCTTTATAAAAATCCCTTATCCATTTCTGAGGTGCCAAAATTCCTTTTTTTCACACACTCTACCTTGGAGATACAAAATTTGATCTTTTCACCACTCTACTGATGGAGAATTGAGACACACATTTGAGGAGCAAACAATATAACAGTCAGATTTTGAAGGTCTTTAAGTCACTGAAGAAACTATGAAACAGACCATGTTTAATTACTGCATTTGGAGAGAAGCACAGGGCAGAGTCCTTCTATCTAGTGCACAGAGGGAGCTTGGAGATGCTTAGGGCTGTAGGTTAAAGTGGCTAGAGGAACATGCATCAGGACCTTAAAGAGAGCCAGAAGCTTCCCTAATCGTAAGCTACAGAATCCAATATTGCTCATTTGTCTTTGAAAAACCCAACACTAGACAATACGTGAGTCTGAGCTGTTGAGAGAAAGCAAACTGAGAAGATGTGATAAGGTCTTTGAATAACACCAGCATAAGTGGAATGCAGCATAAAATGATGTAATTGCAGTATCAGAGTTTCGTGGGTGTTCATTCATGAAATGCCAAGTGCATCGCTGAATGTAAGTACATCTATGTTCAGTAATGTGTTACTTAAAATGAGAAAAAGCACCAGCTTTTTTTTTCCTTAGTACAGGGACTCTAATGGAGCTGAGGAGCGCTTCCCACCAAGGAGATGGATGCCAGGGTGGGGGTCAGTATCACTTGATCTGAAGTAGAAAAGCATCTTCCTGCAAGACTTCATTGCAGGCATTTTCCAGACAGCTCAGGTATTTTTAAAGAAAGACATGACCATAGCTCTGCCTAAATCAAGCTTCTGTCCTTCAACACAGAATTGACAACATAACTTCATGAAGTTGTGATCTATTAGAAAGGAGATTTTAAAAGACCACAGTACTGCAAGGAATAAAACAGGTAAGCAAATCTCATACAATCATATTTCCACTGGTATTATAAATAGACTTCTTATTATCTTGCTCAGCAATGTACAGTGCTTGTAGAGTTAATGACAATCTTCACTCCCTCTCACAGTGTGCAACAACAACCCTTCCCATTTTGCCTAGAGCTGATACTATACGAAGTGTCCAAGAATTTCACAAAACATGCCATTTTCATTTATCACCGTCAGCTGTAGGTAATTCCTCACGATCCTTTGGTCCAAGATCTCTGCAAAACAAAAACAAAAGACAACAAAACCCCATCTCAGTATTGATTGCCCTCACATCTCCTCAGTCTGTTCTTTGCACCCTCCTTGATTCATAAACCTAAATCCATTACAATGCTGCTGCAAATATTCTTTCTCCAGGTTGGTATGTTAGCTATATCCTCACCTCATCTCTACTGCACAGTTTCTATAATGCAACAAAGCACGCCACATCTTCTACCTTTTCAAATCCCTTACAATGGTTTCCTGTGCTTTTTAATTTTTGTTACAAACCACAGGGTAATTACCTATTTCTTCTCTTCTATCATCAGTGGAATCAACATCTTTTGGAATCTTCCAAAATTCTTTCTGTCATTCTTTTTGAAAAAGAGGAGAAAAGATTCCACTGAGCATCGAAGAGACATTGGAACAGGTTGCCCAGAGAGGCTGCCTCCTTCTTGGAGGCATTCAAGGCCAGGCTGGATCACAGAATCATGGAATGGCTGGGGTTGGAAGGGAGCTTAAGGATCACGAAGCTCCAACCCCCCACCAATGCAGGGCCACCAACCTCCCCATCTCACAGCAGCCCAGGCTGCCCAGGGCCCCATCCAACCTGGCCTCCAACACCTCCAGGGATGGGGCTTTGAGCAACCTGGTCTTGTGACAGGTATCCCTACCTAGAGCAGGGGGTTGGAACTAAGTGATCTTAAAGGTCTCTTTCAACCCAAACCATCCTATGATTCCTTGACAGTGTATTATTTTGGCTTACAATATATTGGATTATTGTTTTTTTCAGGTTCTTAAAAGTGACTGGTTCCTGTGATTCTAAGTTGTTTTGTCAATCACTGCCTTTGATGACATAGCTGTCTTTTGTAAAGTATTTAGGATGCACACTCAGGAATTGCATGTGTGTAGAGGACTTAGAGGTCATGCTGCTTATCTCCACATTTTGCCGTATCGGCCTTAGCTTGACAAGGCTTTGCCTTGTAACAGAGGCCTCTGTGGTAATACTGATGTATTGAGATCTGAGATTGGTATCATCTGTTCTCCAGGATTTTGCCACATTATCCTAGATCAGCAGATGAGTCCAGTCGTCGTCTCTTGCAGTATTTGAGAGCAACAAGACAAATAGGTAATGAAAGAAAAAGGTACCAATATCATTAATGTACAGCCCTACTGCTCTGCACCATGCACATATGTCACCTTTATATCATTCACAGAGCTTTTTCCCAGATGGAAGCTGATAGAGAAACTGTGATGCAGCTGATAACCTTCAGCACACATCCAGGTGATCAGAACAGCAAGAAAGATAAGGGAAAATGCTTCGCTGTTCAGCCCATGTCAAAGCCCCAACATCTTTGGTCCACCTTGAACTGAAGGCAGACTCTGACGCTGGGCACAGTGCAGCCTCCTGTGGGAGGACAGCACCACTCAGTGAACCTTCGGGGGATTCTGGCGTCCCACTCCTCCATGCTGAGCAGCCTGGCTGCTCGCTCCGGAGCACTCCCTGTTTCTCATCGGGGTTCTCTGCCGTCATCTCTGAGGTCAGGAAGAAAGACCACGCCTCGCCTGCTCCTAAACAAAAGACTATAGATAGCTGTGGCAGCAAATGCTTCTCATTATGTACTCCTCTCTCCTCAGACTGCCTGCCCAGTTGGGGGTGGGAGCAGCATGGGGCCCTGAGATGCCTGTGCTGCTCTGCTGTGTGTTTTCTGTTATGTGGGGTGAGGAGTGCATTCCTCACAGGCTTTGAATGTCTGCAAAACCCCAGAGGAATCCTCGGAGCAGTGGGAGGAGAGATCGGGCACGGAGAAGTTACCCATGCACATCGGGATAAGGCGTCCCCCTGCTGCATCGGCCTGCAAAGGCATCCAAACCTGATGGAAGTGCAAGTGCTAGGGCAGCACGCCCTCTCAGCGTGCATTTAAAAGCCTCACTCTTCCCACCAACACAGCTTGTTTGGCTAGGCTTAGTCTGGCAAAACAGATCAAGCAGTGATAAACCTGTCTGCTTGTGCACTTAGAGTCAGTGCAGGATAGGTAAAGGAATCATTTCAGATTAAGACTGATTGTGAACCAAGAACAGATAGATATAAACTGGCTATTATTGCATTCAACAAGAATTCTGCTAGCTATTACAGCTATCAGGCTTTAAAACATCTTTTCAGAGTAAGAAAGACACAGGAGCAAAAATTCCAGCGTCTGATAAAATTGAGTGATTACGGGATTTCATACCTATGGCAGCTTGAGTTTGGACGTGGAGGCCCAAGAATTACTGGCACCACATTCTTTTCCCGCATCACAGAACTCCAATATAGAGCCTCTCCTCATGGAGTATGCATGCAGGGCCTTGTACCAAGGACAGGAAACTAACCTCCCAGTCCCACTCCCTCTCAGCTTTATGTGTCTGATGCCTAGTTCATGTTTCAGTGTCTCTGACAGAGCTTGCACAGAAGATTGTTATGGATATAGAAACATGGAACTGGAAAAATCTTCCTGGGACAGCTGGATGCAGTGTTGAGTGGCCATTCCCCAGCTTGCTGCCAAGCATTTTTTTTTTCATCATCGTTCTCAGGATGCTTGTAGAATTGGGAACGTTGCAGGACCTGAAGTATCAGCAGGATGGGACAGCACAGCCCGTGAGCCTTAACTGCAGTGCAATCCAAACATCATCTCCACACTGCAGAGATGGGACAATCAACAAAATAATGGGCAGTTCGCAAAAGAGAGCCCTGGAGGGAAGTCTTGATATCCCTGGAGAAAGTGCATACATCCAGAATATAAACAGAACTACTGACCTGCATCCTGCCCTGTAACCACATATATGAGCCACTCCAAATCCGCCGGGAATAGCCTAAAAGGCAGCTCTACTAAAGTGCACCTCTGAAAAAAGAAATCTGTACTGCTACTGATGAAATGCTAGCAGTAGTAGCAGTAGTAGGTCGAGGAGTGAGCTGCATGGATCCCAGTTAGAAATACGCATGCTGACCGTTCTCTGCAGAAGTGACATTTTGTGATTCCAGCTGATGCAATGCACAACATAATACTGTGCAGACCACAAGATACGTAGAGACAATGAGCACAGAGGCAAGCATAGTCCTGGTGACACCTTGCTACGGCCAGGCCAGCACGGCTCTTCTACAACTCGCAGTGCAAACCCTAAGGAGAAACAGCAGGAACATCCACCTGCTCTGCAACAGGCCGTGCCCTGCCCGTTTCTCGGTCACACCGCAGGCTGCGAGCGCTCACAAAGCCACGGGCAGCGCCCGCGTCAGTTCTGCTCAAGAGCGCGCGGAGCTCCGCGCCCCCGGGCAGCTCAGCAGCTCGGCGGGGAGCTCAGGCCCGCAAGGCGCTCAGCGCCGCGCTGCCGCACCCCAGCACCCCCCGGGGAGCTCCGCACGGCCGCAGCGCCGCACGCATCCTCCGGGCAGCTCCGCGCTCCTCCCGCGTCCCTCCGCTTACCGCGAAGAGGCTGCCCGTTGCCACGGCCGCGAGCCTCCGGCCCTCCCTCGCTGCCGGGCTCAGGTACGGGAGCGCGCTCCCGGGTCCGCCGAGCGCCGCGGCAGCAGCGAGGGGCGGCGGGACGGCCGCGCCCGCAGACGGGGACGCCGCGGGGCCGAGCGGGCGCCGCACGCGGATTGCCCGGAGGCGGTGCTGCCGGGACGAGGCGGGGCGGGGCGGGGCGGGCCGCCAGGGGGCGCTACGTAGCGTCCGCAGAGCCTACGTCACTGCGCGTGAGCGACGCATCTCTGCGCGCGGCATGGAGGGAGGGCGGCCGAGCGCGGGCGTGAGTGAGCGCCGACTGCGGAGCGGGGCGGTTCTGCTCGGGAGGAGTCCGGCCGGGCTCTCGGGGCGGCAGGGAGAGGCGGCGCCGCGAAGGAGGCTCGGCCGCTCCGGCGGGAGCTGTGCCGTAAGGCAGCCGGGCTGCGGCGCGGCGGCGCCCGGTTCGTCACGCGGTTTGTCGTCCCGCAGGTGCGGGGCACGGGCGGCAGCAGCGCCGTCAGCAAATGCTCAGCGGCGGAGCGGGGATACGTGCGGGACCGCTTCGTGCGGCTCCTCGCGGGCCGGCCGCGGAGGAGAACTGCGCTCATCCACCGGTAGGAATGCGCGGTGCGGCTCGGGGCGAGGCGGCGGACGGGAGCGGCGAGCAGCGCCTGCCGCTCCGCGCTGTGCGTGAGCGCGGCTGTGCGGGGCGTTCAAACGCGGGCGCTTACAGTGCGTACCCGCGGTGAGCCTTGGTTAACGTGAGGCGGCTCGATATGACAGTGACTGCGAACTGCCGAAGGAGTTTCGTGTAGGTAACATAAATGTCAGGAGCTGGCAGGCCTGTGAGGGCAAACGCTGCTAATCGCATCTGAAAGTGCATCTGTGTCGAGTTGTCTGCTCACGTGGCGTCGGTGTGCCAAACTAAATTCATGCCAGGAGCTACATGTTACTGTTGTTAATGCTGTCTTCCCAAATCCTTGGGTTTCTTTTAAAATGTTTCTGTGAGGTCTGGGGGTGGGGATAATGAGCGCCTGCTGGGGGAGTTGACAGGGAGAGGAACGGCTGGTGGGAACACCGTGAAACTGAGTAAAACTGGTTTCCTGAGCACTGAGGAAACGGAGGCAGCAGCCAGGTGGATGCTGAATGCTTTCCAGGAATTCAGTTTTCTTGGTTTTCATCACACAGAAAAAAGAAAACCAACACAGAGAATGAAACTCCTTTCAGTTTTCATTTTTGCTCCCCGTTAATGCTCTTGCACACGCAGCTTTCATTTTGTTATACCCAATAACTGCTGGTTGAGCACATCACCTTGTGTATAAAGGAGTTAATTTCATATTGTCACACCATCTGATTTGGGGCAGGAAGTGAGATCACAGAATGATCCAGGTTGAAAGGACCCCAAGGATCATGAAGCTCCAGTTCCCCTGCCACAGGCAGGGCCACCAACCTCCCCATTTCACAGCAGCCCAGGCTGCCCAGGGCCCCATCCAACCTGGCCTTGAACACCTCCAGGGATGGACGGGGCATCACAGCCTCTCTGGGCAGCTGTTCCAGCACCTCACCACTCTCTCTCTAAACAACTTCCCCCTGACATCCAACCTCCAGCTGCCCTCCCTCAACTCCAAACCATTTCCCCTTGTCCTGCTGCCATCTCCCCTTTCCAAGAGCTGACTCCCCTCCTGTCTGCAGGCTCCCTTGAGGCACTGCAGGCTGCACTGAGGTCACCCCGCAGCTTCTCTTCTCCATGCTGAACAAGCCCAGCTCCCTCAGCCTGTCTTTGCAGGGAGATGCTGCAGCCCCTTGATCATCTTTGTGGCTCCTCTGCACCCTCTCCAACAGCTCCCTGTCTTTTCTTGTGTTGTGGACCCCAGATCTGGACACAGTACTCTAGATAGAGAGTAGAGAGGGAAAATCACCTCCCATTTCCATCTGACCACCCCTCTTCTGGTGAAGCCCAGGATCCCATTGACTTTCCAAGCATCTTGAACACACTGCTGGCTCATGTTCATCCATCAGGACCCCCAGGTCCTTCTCCACAGGGCTGCTCTCAAGCACCTCTCCTTCCAGTCTGTTTTGATGCCTGGGATTCCTCCGGCCCAAATGCCAAACCTTGCACTTTGCTGTGTTGAACCTCATCAGGTTCATCCTGGCTAAGATGTTGGCCAACTGCATTGCAGGAAGCATTCTGACTGTCTGGACTCATCCTTTTCCATCCACTGAGTATTTATGTTTGTAGACTGGTACAGTTAGGAAATTTACGTGTTTTCTCTCAGTTATCTGTGGTCTTGGTGGTTAGACATTAAATACAGGGTCTAGAGATTACAGAATCATCAGATATCACCAAGTGTAGGTACATAAATATGATTATTGAGTGGAAGCTGAGAGAGAAAAGGTTTGTTGGTTTTTTGTGTTTTTTTTTGGAATAGACAGTGTAATTCTTGGAGAAATAGGGTTACTGGACAGCAGTTCCAGTTGAATTTCATTCCACAGAGGTTATTATGTCCGTGCCCGTGCTGTAGATCACTGTGTTCAAGATTTCCTGCTGAAGACCAGAAGTCATCCTAGGAGACAGGTACGTTTCCATTGCCTGGCTGTGCTGGCAGCTTCTGCTGTATTTGTACATGAAACGTTTTTTAGCAGCTGTGGTGGTTTTCTCCCAAAATAGTGCAGAGGATCTACTTGGCAGTACTGGTTCTGCATTTGTTGCTGACAGAAATATCTATCTAGTATTTGCACAAGTTTTTCAACCTCTTTTGGGAGATTACCTGGTTTTGTTACTCTGCAGATTGTGCACCTGAACTGGAATGTTCTTCACAGGAAGATGCTCAGGATGCTGCTAGAGTATCACTTGTTTTCTGCCGATTTCTCTGCAGATCCTGTCTCTAGGTGCTGGCTTTGACTCCTTGTACTTCCGTTTGAAAGACATGGATCTTCTACATCACACTGTAATGTATGAGGTGGATTTCCCAAGTGTGGCGTGCCAAAAAGCTGCTCTGATCAAGAGGACGGAAGAGTTGTCAGCACTGGTGGGAGATGCTGGAGCAGAAGGGTTAGGTATGGTGTTTGTGGAAAATGTTCTGGATGCTGCATGTATGGAAGAAGGAAAAAAAAGCTTCAGCCTTTAAAAACTGAGTTGTTTTAGAGGAACTCGGAAGTGTGTGTGTGTAGTAAGAACGTGTGTGAGGTACGTGTTTATTTTGTGAAAAAAATCAGAACCGTTTGGAAGCATTGGGAGACAACAAGATGCAGAACTGCTCGGAAGTTTTTGAGGAGCAGATTACATCAAACAAAGCTCAGTGTATTTTGTGGCAACTTTTTAAGTATTGTGTCTAACTTTGGACTTACCAGTGCAAAGACTGCAGCCTGCGCTGTGATGGGTCGGGAGAATGAGAAAGGGCTGAAGCACAACATGTAGGTGGTAGAGCTGAGAGAACCTTCCTCAACTTGAAGAGAAGGATGAGTGGTGGGGAATAGTCTTACTGCAGTTTTTAACTACCCAGTGGAAAATTATAGTGAGGATGGAGCCAGGCTCTTTTTGGAGACAGTAGTGCTTGACTGTACAAAGCCTGGAGCAACCTGTTACAGGTAACCTTTGAAGTCACCTTTCCACCTAAATGATTCTGTGATTTATGATCTTTGTGGGTAGGGGAGAAGCTATTATTCTTAAGTATGCTGACTGCAATTGCAGCATTAGTCATTGTGTTTTATTGGCTTCTTTTAAACCTTCAGGAAGAGGAAAAATTGAGTCTTGTGAAAATATGGTAGAATCTAAGCACAGCTGAAGGGCTAGTTTTGCCAACTAAGCACTGAGTGGCAGTTCATTTGCAAAATGGAGGGATGTAAGGTATGGGGTTCACTAGGTGGTTCTCTTGCATCTGATCTCCTTCAAGGTTTACATTAATGTTGTAGTTGATAGGCTGTGGAAGGTGGAAATGTTATAATGCAATAGAAAATAGAGATAGTTGCAATGCGATAGATGGAATTAGGTTTTTGACAAAGTACAGGAAATCTGTGAAATGTGGGATGAAATACAATAGGGACATATTCAAGCCACTACGTTTTGACTGTAATCACAGAATTATGGGGCTGGAAGGACCTCCAGGGATCACTGAGTC